AAAGGCCATCTACAATGTTCAACTTCTGACCAACAACAAATAATCGAACAATCTCAATCGAAAAATCACTCCACGCAGCCTTACGCCAAACATACGTGTGTGTGTGTGTGTGTGTGTGTGTGTGTGTGTGTGTGTGTGTGTGTGTGTGTGTGTATGTATACTCTCGATTTTTTTTGTTAGCTTTCTACAAGCAGGAATCGAATCAAATAAACAAATTTCAACTAAGAAGAAGATTTACAAGTTGCCAAAACTTTCTGAAAACGTCTCATGACCAAAGGAATATCCTTTTACGATAAAGTGTTGAAGCATAAACCGAACCATACAGGCTCCACACACCGACAAGAAGATCCCAGAACAAAAATCGAAGCCTTTCTTTGCAAAAATCGATACTTTACCGAACAAAATTCGGTTTTCTACAACAGAAACCCTACAAAATCGGATTTTCCGGCAAAGCCTCCGAGAAGTTGGATGTCGTCATTTGCTTCAACGACCATTGTTTGCCGTGGTGGTGGTGGTGGTGGCGGAGGCAATATAGGTGTGGTATGTGTAGAAAAGGATGAACGACAGAGCTAGGGTTTGGCTGTGGGATTTAACAGAGAAATAGAGAATAATTGAGTATAAAATATAAAATATAAAGAAACGTGATAAGAGAAAAGGTCATAATTATCAAACTATATTAACTTTTATTAATTTTAATTGTTTTGGATTTAACTCAAAAATAAGAAAAATATTTGGACTCATTGTAATTAGAGGGGGCTAATGAGGGGTGTTTGTAAATTATCCCTATATAATAATAATATTAATAATTCTATTAGGACAACTTAAAGAGGCAACTAAATTAGGCAACTAAATGGGGCATCAAACAGTGTACTCCAATGTAATAATACAATAGCCACTAATGTAAGTAAGCCATCATTTTATATATTTCTGTACAGTAAAATATCCACAGAGAAGAGGTCCGGATTTTTGAAAAAAATGTGCAAAAAAAACAGCAATTTCAATTTTTCACCATTGGAATCCAAAAATAAATAAAAATAAAATATAAAAAAATCATGTATCTTGTGTATCATCATAAACCAAAGGGGAAAGATGTGACCAAGCATTTCGGTTTTCACCTTGGCTTTGTTCCCACTTCCCTGGATCTCGAATCATGCAATTGGAGTTGCTTACTAATCCATGGAGGATCACTTTCGTTGAGCCAAAATGACTCACCTGTATCCTTGTGCTTAAAATCGGGAGCTCTTGGATTTGTTTTACGGCTTCTTCGGTCCCACCATTAAGATGGGTTCGCAAAGAATATTTGCCACAGATGAAGTCGGCTTCTACGGTTTTGTATTCTCTCTTCGGTCGAAACTGTAAACAAATTGAATCAAAAAATAAACATATCGTATTACGGTGAAAAGAAAACCAAATTGGGATATAAGGCATGTGAGTATTTAGTGGTTTCAATGAGTATAAGTCTTCACTGTTTGAAATTAATTTCACTCCCGGAAGGCAAGTAACAGTTTTGTAATACTTATCCAGTTATCCCGAATGCCCATTTCTTGTTTGGTTCAACTTCGAATTACAAATTTCAGTATAATAAGCAATTGTTCATTCTTCTTCGTTTCGAAAAAATAAATGCATGAATCTTGAGAAGTGAAGAAACGTCAATTGTATCCATTATCACCTCTAGAAAAGGATTATTGATACTAATATAGAGAATCAATTTTAACATTTGGGTCCACTAAAAAAAGGTTGGAGGAAAAGGAATAATACGGACACTAAATCAAATGAGTGAACGTAAAAAAAAAAAATGTATATCTTGAGTACATCGTTTATTTATCAACTTTGTTCTTCTCCAGCTCTTATAATTGTCAAATAGGATGGGGAAATTGTGTTTAAAGAGAACGCTAGTAATTGATCGAGCTCGTAACAAATATATACTGGCGATCAGACTAGTGGAATATTTTCGAGATGCTGATCGTCAACCGGCACAAGCACAACAGCACGTGCTAATGTGACATTATATTGCTTTTAATGCAACTAGACAGAACTAGAAAACAATATAGAAACTTAAATTCCCGACACGCGATCAAGCAACTCGTAATACGTAAAAAAATTATGGCTTCGAACCTGATAAAACGGTATCGATTTCCCATTCTCGTCCACCTTTGTACGTGTACGACCCTAGACGACCCGAAACGTAAACTAAATCGCACGGCTTCAGATGCTGGACCGACATTTGTAATTAGGTTAAGCTAATTCTGCTATTTGGGGATTTACTTGCAGCGTTGACCGTTTCTTTGACTTGTAATGGGGGCAGTCATGCAAGGGTATTTTTTGTCTTTTGAAAATTTGTCCTTTTTCCTGCGCATAATTCACATTTCTATTTTTAATTGGGTTCATTTTGATTTAACATATAAAAAAAACAAATTGATTGAATGTTATTCCATCTGTTTCAAAATAAATGTCATTTAAAATTTCAACAAATGCTTTTTTCTTTTTTCTTTTTAGAAAAGAACTAGCATTTTTTCCGCGTGCGATGCATGGGATATATTTTCAAGAGTAAAAAAAAAAACCAATTTAATACATAATAAGAAAATATAGTACACGCACATAGTAAAATTTAATAATTTAGTATTATTCATATTTTATATAACATTAGTTTGTTTCAATTTTACATATTACGATTTATAATCAAAATATCACGGGTTAAAAAGTCAGGAAGATTATTTTCAGTTCTTTTTTTTTATAAATTATATCAAAATCAAAAGGGGCTAATTGGGCTTGCCACCTTGCAAACATTTGTTTGGAAACATCATGTTTAAAATCTTTTTTAAACATATATTTTGCTGCTTGACAATCAGTCTTAATTATAAATTTCTGATTATATTGGAATTTTAAAACACACTTAAGAATAGCTAAAATTTCTTTAGCTATAGTAGCATAATTCTTCTTACTATTATTCCATTTTCCTGAATGGAATCTAACAAGATATTCTTGTTTATCATTTGGAGAAACCTGTTTAAGGATACCTCCGTAACCTATTTCTGAGGCATCAGTCTCAATAATGTTTTCCCGATTTGGGTTAGCTAACATGAGACAAGAAAGATTAGTGACTTTGTTCTTAATTTTCTGAACATCCTGGGTATGATTCTCAGTCCAAGGTTTTGAATTTTTCTTAAGTCTATCATATAGGATAGCAATATCCTGAGCAAGATTTTTAATATAGGGGATATATAATTTACCTAAGAATCTTTGAAGCTGAGTTTTATAAGTCAGTTGGTCAGGGAATTTAGAGGCAAATTCAATACTTCTATTAATAGGGATAATTTTCCCTTTTTCAATATTATGACCAAGAAATCTAACTTGTGTTTGAAAAAGTTGCATTTTAGGTTTAGATATAACTAAACCGTTTTGAGTAAAAAAATTCTTGAAAATATCAAAGTGTTTAAAATGGGTTTCAATATTTTTAGAAAAACACAAAAATATCATCGATATAAAGAATGATAAAATCACTATAAGGATTAAAAATATCATTCATAATATTTTGAAATTCTGAAGGAGCATTATGCAGACCAAAAGGCATAACTTTCCATTCATATTGACCAAATGGAACATTAAAAGGTGTTTTATAAATACTTTTTCATGAATTTGGATATGCCAATATCCAGAATTTCAATCAAATTTTGAAAAAATCAAGGCATCATGAAGCCTATCAAGTATATCTTTCTTATTAGGGATCGGGTATCTAATCCATTTTAAAGAAGTATTCAAAGGTTTATAGTTAATGATTAACCTGGGAACACCTCTTTCTTGCTCAGCATGTTTATTAACATAGAAAGTTGTGCAAAACCATGGAGATTTAGAGGGTCTTATTAACCCTTTATTCTGCAAAGTTTCAATCTCTTTTTTGCATAGCTCAAGATAGTCCTTATTCATTTGACAAGGCCTGGCCTTGGTTGGGATTTTTTTCTCATCAAAATTATCCTCATAAGAAAGTGAGACAATATGTTTTTTCCTATCCAAAAAGCATTTGGATGATCATTACAGATTTGTAGAGAAAACTGATTATTAAGAAGTTTTATCTTAGCCTGTAATTTAGGATTTTGAAGAGTTTCATCAACATTTAAAATACTTATCTCTTGTTTAAGAAAATTAATTTGGTTTTCTTTATTCTTTATAAAAGAATCTTTTATTTGATTTAGGATTCTAGTAAATGGTTCAGAAATGAAATGAAAAATAATTTCTTTGCCATCAAAGGTTTCTATAAAACCTTGTTCATCAATTCTTTTTATTGGAAAGATTTTCTTTAAAAAAGGGGTTCCTAGTATAACTTGGTTAGTGATATTTTTGACTAGTAAAAAACTAGTAGGGATGCAAACTTTACTTTTGCAAATAAACGCTTTTGGAATCTTAAAATTAATTTCCATTTTCTGACCATTTTATGAAAGTATTTTGTAGGAATGATTCATTCTAATTGTATGCAATTTAAATCTAGGGAGGGCCAACTAAATATTTTGGGTTTAGGGCAGCGCCTTGGAAAAAAAATTAGGTTCACAAAACATTGCAAAAAATAAGTTTATATTACTAATTTTCAATTAAAATATCATATATGTTATAATTATATCATATTTTAACCATCATAAAAAAATCTAAATTAATCCAAATTATTCTAATAATGTATAATTGATATTTTGGGGATTCATGGCACGATCTCATATTATTTTTTTAAAGGCATTGATAAAAAATAAGTAATATTCATAAATTTTATTTAAAATAATACAAGTTTTAACCATTTTATTTTATATTTTATATTAAATATGATATATATATATATATATATATATATATATATATATATATATATATATATATATATATATATATATATATATACTAGGGGAGCCGCACCGCGCTATGCGCGATACGTGATGCCCCGAGACAATTATTATTTTTTCTTTTGCGGTATGTTTTATAAAATTTTAAATATCTAAGTTAGATTATGTAGACTGTACTAAAGAATGCAATCATTTATAAGATTGCATATTACATTAAAGTCTTTTTAAGATATTGTCATACATTTCCATATGGCGGAGATAGTACAAAAGTGCAAACTGTCTGATAATAATTACACAGCAATGCATACAAACTAACAAAAGTACAGCGATTAAAATTAACAAATAATCAAGCTAAAGAACTTGGTTGGTGAGAGTAGCACAACCAAAATCTCATTTCTCTTGGTCTACCAATAAACGAACAAGGCTCAGACTTTTTTGGATCGTCACCGCAAAGTCATTTTCTCCATCAAGACACAAGGAACCAACAATCCCTCCAAATGATTATGTTCGAATTATTTTTGAAGTTGTTCACATGCATCCATAACATTACATACAAGATGTCTCCATCTTGATATAAAGCTCAATTGAGTTCTCATGATCACATCTTTATGAATATATACAATAAATAAGAGTGAATGTGACAACACATTTAAGCTTTACAACACGGAAGACTTTCAATATGATACTTCCATACGGGATTTGTTATTTATTTGAAAAGTGCACATAACTAACAATTGTAAGTTCCTGTTTATTTGTAGCATTACTTAAAAGAATATAAATTTCACAGTTCAATTAGATTAGTAAATTTTAACCCGAGCTGAAACACAAAATCGTATTATCATGTAATTTATTATGATGTGTAACGTTTTCTTCCATGTCAAAACCACCTCAGCTAATATTTTAGCGAACATATGTTGCTTCCATGAACCAGTTAAATAGTACCTATTTTATAGAAACAACATAAGAAGTGAAAAGGGTTCATCAACTGCAAATGAGAAGACACCAACAAAAAATTAACAGCACACGACCAAAAAAAAAAAAGAAAAGTTGTCAAACCGTCTACCTTTGATTAAATGAGACGAACTTTGATGCAGCTGTAAAATTTCCAAGATAACAAAAAGATCATGCAAAAGGTTTGGAGTACATACACCAATATCAAGTAAATTATAAGTACATGGGTATAAGAATTTGTATCCCAATTAACGTGTTGACAAAACAACAACAGTGCTAATATATTTTCAAAATGAAAAAAATTATCATAAATCTTATTTGAACAACCAGCAATTGTAAGTTTCATCAAATTTAGGGGAAACGTTCCCACAAAATTATGCTAGTGAGCATATTAACCCGAAAAAAAAAATTATAGAATAACAAAAGTAAGCCTTACGTTTTGTTTCATATGAAAAAAAAAATTATATTAGATAAAAAAACAGAAAAATCAAAGCTCACAGAAGCATAAGAACTTGTATCCATATTTGCATTTAGAAAAAATATTTTTCCTGCATATCATATCAAGAGTCATGACTAAAGTAAAAAGATCTTTTAACAGAATAAATTAATGTGTATAACTGATAAGTATATGGGTAAAAGAAATGCTAAAAAATATTATGAACCAAAACAAAGAACCTTTTCCATTTTGTAGAATGAACAACTTAAATAGAGCCGAAACACACAATTTGTCGAACGTCCTCGATCCATGCACAAACATAAAATCTGAAAATTATTTGAAAGAACAAGAACATCATACAAGAAGTAACAATGAAATAAAAAAAAATAGAAGTAATAACTTACTTTAGATGTCTAAAAAGTTGGAAAAGGAAGTTGAAGAACATCTGCAAACGGGGAAAAAATCGTTACTTAGAATGAAGAAATTAAACCAAAGTTTATCTTCACCGCAAACAGAAAATCCAAATAGACAATTTAAAAAGCAAAAGTACTTGTAGTTATGTAGTTCCACACCACCCATAAAAAAATCAAAAAGACAAAAAAAAAAAAAAAAAAAAAAAAAAAATCAGTAGAAAACTTGCAGATGGGAAATGAAAGGTGAATGAGCAAGCTTGGAAGAGAGAATGTTGGTATTATCGAAAGAAGATTCATAATGATTTTACTGGAAGAGGCATGGTCTACTAACATAGACCTGGCTTTTTGATCTGATTGATGGTAATTTGTGGCAAAAATGTACACCGCCATAAACATTATCACATGTCCGTGTATATATATATATATATATATATATATATATATATAGATACACGTTTTAATTTAATTTAATAATTAATAACAATATATATTCTAGACAATTTTCTGAATAAAGTAATTTATAATTTTTCACTTTTCAATAAATATAATAACTTTTATATAACAGGTAATATCATTAAAAATGAATGAATAATAATATAGAAATTCTCATCATTTATTGAAATGAATAGAGCAAATCCAATTTATTAATGCTTGTTTAATTATCAAAATTACCAGAAAGAAAAGGATAGTAAAAAAAGGAGAGGCCAAAAAGCATGTGTGGCCTTCTGCCTAAACCCCATTGTTTTATACTTTTATTTAAAAAATAAATAGAAAAACAGGGGGTGACGATTGCAAATTGCCCAAGAAGAGAATATGGGCCACATATTTTTGTTTGACAAAATTCGTGCAGTTGGAAGAAAAGTAAGGCAATAAAAGAAATTGCCAATTAAATTTAAATCCCACTTGCCCAAAAAAATAGCTTGAAAAAAAAGAGGAATAGTGGTAGCTGGGCCCACGGTTTCGGTCGGACGAAAATTGAACGTATTAAATAAAAATGCAAATGAAATTAAATTTGCACTTGAAAAGGCAAATGTTAAAGCGAAACAGCGCCGTTTTAATGTTAAACTGAAGAAACAAAAATGGAAAATATATTAATAAGTACTGTAGAAGTTTTCTCGCACGTTTATAAGATATAATATATATTAAGTATTAAGACACATACTTACAAAAATATTACAGGGACCAAAAGTAATATTCAAAAAATACAATGCTAAAAACCTAATTTTTTTATTCTTTTTAAATCTTGTGGGTCAACAGCCCCCTTGCCCTTGTAAGTACCGCCGGTGATTATAAATACGGGGCAATTTGCTATGGGTCCTTCTATATTATAATTTATGTGTGTAAATCCAAGTCAAAATTTAATGTTTTAATAAATTAATATTTTTTATTATGGCAAAAATACCCTTATTTAAATCAAATCAAATCCCCAAAAAAATCTCTCTATCAAAACAAATTCTCAAACATCTCTCTTCCAAATATTAACTAAAACAAATAAATTAATTCATAACAAAAATATACAATTTATTTTACAAACTCATACTCTAAAAACGCCACCGCAGCCCCACCACCGCCTATGATCAGGGAACTGCGACGCCTATGACTCCGCGAACTGCAAATAGCAAACTGAAAATTAGATTTTATATTATCGAATTGCAAACAACAAAATACCTATGATTTCGCCGAATGCAAACAGCAAATTGAAAAAACAAAATCCATAATTTGTATTACTGAATTACAAACAAAAAATTACCTATGACTTCGCCAAATGCAAACAGCAAACTGAAGAAAAACATTCAGCAAAACTTGCATTATTGAATTGCAAGCAATAAACTACCTATGACCTGGCCAAATGTAAACACCAAACTGAAAAAAAAAATTAAAAAAAATCAGCATCATTAAAAACATCAACCAAAAATTTGTTTGTGGAACAATTTGCAAACAACAAAAACATTAAACAAAATGTTTATAAAATATAACTTAAGACATACCTTGGAAATTGTAAACCAGAGGAATCGAATCTCAACATCAAACGCAATTCTTCAAACAGCAAACGAAGTTAAACCAACCTGCAAACGGAAATTGCTAACAGCAAAAACGATGGGAAAGTTCAACATACGGGAGACACAATGTGTATTTTGGCTATGATTTTGGATTTCTGAATTTTTGTTGTCTTCTTTAATTCTTCCACCAAAAAATCATCTCATAATCTAAAAAGATCCCTATTTTTTTCCTTCTCAATAATATTTCTTTATCAAAAAAGTAAAGAAAAAGGAAAAAAAAAAAAAAAAAACAGAGAAGCTCGAGAGAGGGAGAAAGGCGTGAGACACACAGGGAGAGAAAGAGATGAGAGATTACATATAGGGCGAGAGAAACGTGAGATTGGAAAGAGAAGATATATGAGATTTTTTTTCTTATTAATTGATGGTAATTATGTATGTACACTAATTATTTTATTTTATTTATATTATTTTTTTTTGAGTCAAATGACCTATGCCTATATTCATCTAGCAACTAGGATCTATACCCATATAAGTCCAAAATAAGGGGTGTCTAGCAAATTTCCCCTATAAATACTCCCCTTTCGTTTTACGGGGAAGTACGGTACTCTGTAAGTTTCGCGAAATGCCTAGGTTGAAGAAGCTAGTGATTGACTATTTAGCGATGTTCCATTTGTCAGGTACTTATAGATAACTGCGTGGTGCTTAAGAGTTTGATTATTGATCGATACTCCACACAGTGTAACCCCGTGTACCAATTAGCCTTGCTAGAGTAGCTGAGGAAATAACTGCGAGAGACTGCGCCAAGCGACAGCTTGAATCACATGTGCCTGCGCTCATTGAATTGGTTATTCTTTAATTAATAGTTTGTGTGTGCTGCTGTATTTATGAGATTAAACTATCACTAGGGAAGTTTGCTTTTGTTTAAGTAGCCTATTTGGATTGTGGGTTGGATCATCTGATAAAACTGTGGATGGATTTTTGAGGAACAACGATGAAGCAATTTAGGAATATTTTTGTATTAGATTCTTTTCTAGTATTAATTTAATGTGGTTCAAAGACATATTATTGTTTGATGTTCAACTTAAGGCACGTGCCTCCACCTTCCATTTTGTTTTCTTTAGTTCTTTTTTAAAGAAAACCTAATAATATTATTAAAGTATAAAAAAAGGAACAGAAAAACAAAAAAAGTGTTTCAAAATGGCGTATTTAATTAACTCTTTGGTCTGGTGATTGCGGAAATACATGCGAACGTAAATACATAGAATATAATAATAGGAGAGAGACAATTGTAGAGATATAATTGTGGGATTCTTGGGGTAGAAGAGATTCTCATTTATATAGGTGCAAACCATCGGAAGTTACAAGGAGGTTACATGAGAGTTACATGGAAGTTATACCCTACATACATCATGGAGGGAGTTATGGAATATTGAATAAGTTGAGAATCTCTAGTAACGTAGTGGGGGTTATAACCCGAGTGGCTTAAGGTAGGAATAACCACATTCTATATTATGTACAACACTCCCCCTTGGAAATTCTTATCGAACAACTATTGTGTTTTTCGTGTTGCCTCATTAAACCTTTCGAAGTAGTAAAATCCAATGGGGAAAAACAAAGGTTAAGATATATTGATACCATAAAACTTTCGGAGTAATAAAATCCAATGGGAAAAAACAACGGTTAAGATATATTGATACCATAGTTATAGATGGTACCCATATATATTAATATCTAATTTATCTCATAATAATGATATCAATATATCTTAACGTGAATATATCTTAACAAGTTTTAACATGGCATCAGAGCCATGATAAAATCCTAGGCTTTTGCTCCTTCTCTCCAGAATCTCATCTCTCGAATATGCATATTCTCACCCGCATCTCTTCTCAACACCCCTTCCATTCACTTTGTTGGCCGCCGATCTACGTCGTCCGTCCTTTTCACTGCAGAAAAACTGCGCGTGTGAGCCCCACGCGCCACCACCTTCTGCCGCTGTTAACCCACGCGTCGTTGCGTAAGCCCCTGTTCGGCCTTCGTTTTTCGGTGTCTTTTTCTCCGTCAGTTCGTCGGCTTCTTGTGAATCTTCATGTGGTTGGTAATCTGCTATTTCGGTGAGATTGGTATTTCTTGATGTTTTTATCCCACTTTTTTCTCTCTACAAAGTGTTTTTTATTCCCGCCTTATATGCTATTGCGAATCCGCCTCTACCATTGATGACAGTCTTTTCATCTGTCGTTGTTGGCAGCCTTGTCATCTGCCTCGTTTGCAGTCTTGTCATCTGCCATTGTTGGCAGCCTTGTCTGCCCTTGATTGGCCGCATTATCATATGCCTTAGTTGGCAGCCTTTTCCTCTGCCCTTGCCGGCAGCCTTGTACTTTGTTCGAGAAGAGAATGGTGAAATGTTTGTGATTGTGATCTATTGAGCTGTCTACTGCATACTCCTCTAATTTGAGGGGGAGTTCTAGAGAATTATTTTTATGTCCTCTTTTATTTGTCAAATTGGAACTTTTGTTTGTCAAGTTCCGATCCTCCGACCGCTGATCTTTTTACTACAGTGCACTCACTCAGTCGGTTCAACACATTTGTTTCCAAACTCAATTTGGTCTTTGTTGACTCAACTTGACGTTGGGGGATGTGAAGATATATATTGATACCATAGTTATGAGATATGATTAGATATTAATGTATATAGGTACCATAATAATGAGATTTGGTTAGCAAGTAATTTATGGATTTGATTTGATTGTAATTAGCTTTTCCTTGTTCAGCTTTATTCTTTTGTGTATAAATACACATACCACTATTGAGAAAAATACACAGAAAATGTTCTACTACATTCATTGTTCATTAGCAAGTGACCTTCAGTAACCGAGGAGATCCCTGCAGCAGGTGAGGGGTGAATTTCATTACATTCCCTTTGTGTGCTTATTATCGGACCCCTACTAGGGGACAAATCCCTGGTCAAGAGAGAATGAAATTGATCCCACTTCAGCAAGAAAATGACTCTAAGTATGCTGACTGCGGACTGACTATAGCACCGCTCGCTTTCACTTGATATCGGATCTTTCCAATTGTCCCTTTGCTAGTTAGAAATAGAGGCAAGGTTAAGAAAGTCTGGATGGATTAGAAAATTAATGAACAATGAACATAGTATAATATTTTTTTTGTATTCTTCTCAATAGAGGTATGTGTATTTATACACAAAAGAATAAAGCTAAACAAGGAAAAGTTAATTACAATCAAATCAAATGCTTAAATTACTTGCTAATCAGATCTCATAATAATGGTACCCATATATATTAATATATAATCATATCTCATAATTATGGTATCAATATATCTAAGCATCAATATATCTTAACAACAACCT